TCATGGGTTTCACTGAGTCACATTTTGCAACCCATTAAGGTAGGTAGTTATCTATTTTCCAAGGTGTTTTAAGGAAACTGCTGGAGTTGAAGGACTGCAAAATGATGAGCACTGCTGCTAGAAATCTTGTGAAGATTCATAAACAGCTACTCAGATATTTTAATAGCTCTGGCATAAGATTCAGATAGCAGTCATAAATGCCTATTTTATTTTATTGTAGTACTGATCAATTCTACCATTTCCTGTCTCAGTGCATCTTCTTTAAAAACAGCCCCTTGAAAAAACACAGCCCATAGAATAAACTTTTGTTTTTCTTTCAACAGCTGTCCAAAATCCTCATTCAATAATACTTTGCTATGCTGTACCTAACCGAAGACCAAATGCCATTGAACTGAAGTCATCAATACTCCATACGAATACAGGCATCTGCTTGCGTAAAACAACTTGCTTTATCGGCTCCTTACCTGCAAGCTCTTTGGACCAGGACCAGTCTAATCTGTGAGGTGCATTACAAGTGTAGGGAGTTGTAAAAAGAAACCTCATTTCTTGATTGCTATTCTCCTCATGACAGAGAGGATAAATTGTAAAATTTTTATTGCCAAATATTAAAATAAATTACATTTTACAAAGACTTAGCAAATATTTACATACAGTGTGATTCCAGTGACAATCAGCAACAAAGAACAGACAGACAGGCATATTATGGAGTGATAAGAGTCGGAACTGTACAAACTTCAAAAGCCGTATGAAAGACAGGCTAATTTTTTAGAAGGTAAATCCATCACAAATGGAATGAATCCCATGAGGCACAAAAATTACAAGTCTGCAACAGAGTTCTTGGGGTGTTTTGTTTAGGTCAACAAACTTGTATATTGCTTTTTGCTCTCCTCATCAGTGACGCTTGTCTGTCTCTATACATACTCTCCCAGATCAACTGGAGGAAAAAAAAAAAATCTCAACATATACAATTGTATCACCATGGATCTGTTATCAGTCTATGGTTTTATTTATGCATGTTTTGTGACATCCATTGCCAGCAACAGATTCACAAATCATTAGTTCAGAAAAATTTAACACACCACTTTTTGTATTTCCTCAGTGATTTCGTACCAGTGTATCAGATGTGTTAGACTGCCTGCTGTGAGATATGTATCTGAAAATGATGCCCTTCTGGTAAAAACAGGCTTCAATAGCACAAGACAAACCCAAGAAGTGTCACCATGATGTCGTGAAGGATGGGGTTACATAGTCTATAGCACTTAAAAAGGCTTTTGTAGGAACAGACTTTGGTTGTCACATTTCAGGATTTTTAAATTTTTTTAAAAATTTTTTAAAGTATTGGCTCATCTTGGCAAAATTGCTAGGTTTATATTGTGAAAGTGGTTCCATGCTTCACATGATGTGACTGGAAATACAATCTAGGTGAGGGCAATAGCTAGAAAGAAGAGTTTCCACTTCTATTCCATCCCTTCCTTATATGTGCTTTTAAGCTTTTTTTTCTTCTTCTTTTTCTTTTTCTTTTTTAAAAATCCCCTTTCCTCTCTTTCCAGGAAGAGATCCGTCTCTCCTACAAAACTCATTCCATAGCATTAAAAGAGCTGTTAATAACATACTGGTTAGCCAAATGAAATCTTACATGGCATCCAAAGAAAATGTTTCCAGATTGACCAGATAATTGAAGTAACTACAAGAACTTACCAAGTAGCACTGGGGAATTCACTCAGAGGCACTTTTGGGGCTGAATAGCTCAAAATCCAGCCTGGACACCCCTCTAACTCACTACATGTAAATCTGAAGGCAGAAAGACATTAATTTAGATCCCCCAGGCTTTTCTCAAGACATGGAAGACAGGCAGGCAAAAAGCTGTCTTGCTTAGCACTTCGGCAGTTCCGAGATGGCACCATTAATTTTAAAAACCCTGGGAAATGGTTCAACTTTTTGGAGAGAGCCAGTATGAAAGCTATGCGCCAACTAAACCCCTCCAAAACACTGAAAACAAGTAGGGCTTAACGAGACCAATTGTGTTGGCCCCTGTGTAAAGAGGAATTTTTTCCCAGTGCTAGGATTACATTAAGGCACATGGTGGGATATCTTGAGAACAGTTTTGTGAGGTGTGATCATGTTTCCCAAAAAAGCGGGAATATTGTACTTTGTTTTAATAAATTTAAACTATTACTTTAAATCCCATGATACTTATTATGCAGACTTATAGTCTATGCTGACTACACTGGGAAAGGCCAGAGAGCCACATCTAACTTGATAATATGAAACAGATCCCATCCATTCTCAGCTCTGGCGTACAAGTGCACTTCGCTATGGAGAACAGAGTCTGGGTTCCAGTGTGCAACATCCCCTCCCAATCAAAGCAGCCCAGCCAAGTATCTGGGTTGTATTATTTCTGTATTAAAGAGAAATTTATCTTTTCTTAAATGAAGATTGGGCTATGCTTTTCCATTTCATGCACATTCAGCAAGCCTTTTCTTTCCTTACTGTCCTGTAGCTTTCTAACTGTCACTAAAACTGATCTTTGCATCAATAATGGAAGACAAGTTGAAGGACAACAAAAGCTATATATGGAGTGCTTTCTCATTTTCTTTTAAACAAAAAAAAGAAAAAAGAGAAGGCTAGACTTGCTACACAAGCATCCTGTGTATCATGTATGTAGTCTTACCTACCATTTCTTACAGTTACAAGGTATAGCTGTCAACCACAACTCTTCAGAAATTCTTGAAGGCCTTGGAGTCATTTTAAAATGATGGGTGTGAGGGTGTCTATTAGAAGTAAATCAGAATCTTCTCGATAGGGCCTCTTCCTCTTTCCTGTCAGATACAAGTCAAATTCATCCAGCCACCCCTGCTCCAAATAGCAGTAATATAATAAAATTTGATTTCAAACTAGAATCTCTCTTCAGTGATATTATCATAAAATATAGATTAACTACCAAATCCAATGATATCGATTCCACATTTTTGCCAGTATAACAGAGTTGGCCCTAGCCTTGTGTTCACTTTCTATTTGAAGAAATGTCATATACGTGCAAAATTCTGAAAAGAAATGAGTAAAGACAGTCCCTTGTTTCACAATAGATGACTTCAAAACTTCCCATCAACAGGCTATCCAACCAGAGTGCCAGCTTTCCATATGTCCTCCTTCCTCTGTGGAAGAGGCCAGCAATTGAAGCTGCAGCCAATATTTGCAGTTATTAGAAATATCTAGTAATTCAAGATTAGCATTGCAAGATTCCATAAGCTCTTCTTACAGAGCTAGTGAGTCTGCCAGCATTACACTGAAAATGAGAATGAGACAACTTTTAACTGTTCACTGAACTTTTTTCAGACATACTGGAATGACTGTAAAACTAAACAGAACAACAGAACTTGACATGTTAAGGTTCAAAGGTCTTGGCTATTTTCTGTTCCAAGTATATCGGATACAACTGAAGTCAGTACCTTTTGCCAACATGTAATCAAGAGCCTCATTTCAAAGAGTTGTCAGGGTTAACACATAGATATGGAAAAAGAAAGAAAAATAAAACCATGGTATAATTTTCTTTGTAGCCAAAACAATTTAGGCATAAGTGTTATGAAGAGACATACTTCCTTCTCAATGAGAAGCCCATCTCCAAGCCAAAAGATAATACTTTCAGGAGCTTAGAGCCGAAGTTCCTTTTAAAAAGTGCCTTATGGCCTTAAGTCACTTGATCACATCTCAGTTTGCCCAAGATTTGACATTGCCCAGCCTTCTTGAAAGTGGAATAGAATAACCATTGTATATGCACATAGGTCATACTTTAAAACAAAACAAATAAGCAAAGTGTAATCAACTGTTTCAAAAATCATCTCTCATTCAAGTCTAGTCTGAAGTACCAAGGCAGGGAGGAACATCAAATAACAATACTGACTAACACACTGCACAGATCAGCAGCAGTGCTAACAGGTCCCTTCTGACAGGCATTAGGGCATTTGGAGAATATCTGTGCATCCCAAGGTGATTTTTTTCCTCAGAAGAACAGTGTCAATAAAACTTCAGCTGTACATAGATACTGTATAAGGTTCATTCAAGTATTTCCTCTAGGAAATGGACAGTGGAAGGACACTTTCAACATTAAAAAAGTTCATTGCATCCTGCTTGTGCTCATACATGCTTTGATCGATAGGTCTTCCAGTCACTTTAACAGTTCTGGGGCTGATGTGCAGTTTAGCAGCGCAACTGGTGAGCTTCATTCCAGATGATTCTTCCTTGTTAGAGGGCTCCTTCTCAATCCATTCCTTTGGAATTTTTAATTTTAATATTTTATTTATGAAATTACAATTCACTATAATTTGACAAGCGCTGACAATATTCTAGACAGATGTTTCAGATGCTTCCTCCTCAGTCTGCCAGCGCACCTCAGCTCAGATCTGTGTGTCCTGGTATTCCATCTAATGTTTCTCATTAAGAACAACTAGTGGTTGCACCATTTTTTTGTGGTAGCAACTTAACAATGGGCAACTTAAAAAAAAAAAAACAACCCGCCCCCCCCCAAAAAAAAAAACAAAAAAGCAAACCCCTTGCTTTCATTTGTGATCAAAGCAGTATTCAAATCCAGGTTTTCAGAGGTGAAAGGCTAATGGAGTAACTGAACACATTTGATGCCCAAGACAGTCTCTTTGCAACAATATAGTTACACTCCCAAACTAATTCCTCAATGAAATGCACAAATGCAGAGCAGGTCCAGTGTATTAACTAGTCTTGTCTTTTCTTTGTTCAAGAACCATAAAATCCCAAGAAGGAGCAGGACTCCAAATTCAACTGTTACTTTACAAGTTTTTCAGATAAGCAAAGCTAATGGGCTCAGAAACCAACTTAGAATGGGAAAAGGACACTGGAGTTTATTAGTTTGGGACTTGCTTTTGTTTTCAAAGAGACAGGAGAAGCTGCAAAAACATGCTTTTCTCCTTGCTCTGTTAATTTGTTCAATATGCACTGACCACTTTCAGAAAACCATTGTCAAACATGCTTCACGTTGCAGCCTTCACATTGCTTACTGTATTATATTCATTCATCAGTTGTTCATAAGGCACAGAAAGTTCTAGCTCATTATTGGTAAAGGTAGATTCATCAGAGGATGGGAATTTTACCAGGTTTTTTGCAGTCACAGATTCTTCTGCAAGATTATCATCCATGGAGGATTTTGATGTTTCCTCATCATCTGAGATATCTTCCTCATCATCATCATCTTCATTTACAAATGTTATATTGGCATTCTCAAATATTAAGGGTCGATAGTCTCTGGAATCCCACACTTCGCCTTCTTCTTCACTAATCCTGTCTAGCTGGTTTACAAACATGGTTCCTTCTAGAGGGCTGTCTCCAATATGTTTATCATGCAGGGGTCTCAGTACATGACCATTTTGAATGTCCAGGGAAGCCTCATCGTACTCAAATGACTCTGTCTTTGTGTAAGTCACCTGGGCATCTATACTGGCATTCTGCATATTTTGTTTGGTATTTTCTACTTTAATCATTTTGTCATTGTTTGTTTTCAGGGCCTTCTTCCCAATTTGCTTAATAAGATCATTATAGGTCTCTTCCTTCTTTGAAAGGAAGCTGAAGATGTTGACATCCTTTGAGGTACCCATTTGAAGGGGTTTTTTAGACCGAGGATGGTTGTCAAAGGACTCTTTTCTTTTTTTCCTTCGTTTCTTGATTGCTTTGTGGACTTCCACAAACATACTGACCTTCCAGTTAACAAACAGTGAAAGCCAAGCTAGTCCCAGATAGATCCATAACTCCACAAAATATCTGTAAAGGGCATGATAGTTTGCATCTGGATTTACACCTACAAAGAATTAAAAACAAGAACATTATTGAAAGAGGACTCGCAGCCGATAAACCTTTGAAGTTATGACCCTGAGACCTACTCCCTTCCACACTAACAAAGCCTCGTTGTTTGAACACTGTCTGAGAAGTGGTACATGGAGATCTGAAACCTTCTGACAGGAAAAGTTGATCCCAGGTCTTCCACTTCTTGGCTACAGGTGTTCTGACCACTGGACTACAACATAAAATGAAAGCATATTTATCCTCTCCTGGTAAGCTATAAAAGTGAACTTTTTTCCTCTTTGAAAATTATAAGCCTTCTCCCTGCCATTGAGGTATGGATATAGGTACCTTCCTTGAGAAAAGGATTCAGAATTCCACTTACAAGGACCATCTCCAAAGCCCTGAACAAGGCACTGGATTTTAGAGAAAGCATACACCAGTATGCTCAACATTATCTTTCGACTAGTTCTAGACAGCTGCACAGAGAGCATTGCCCAGTACTTATGCACCCTACTTAGTATACTGGATCCCATTCAAAGGTGCTTAACTATCATGGTGGATAGGATAGCTCCTTGTCTGAAATAGGGACCTGGGGCACCTGAAAGAGTTACAAACTCCAGAACTTGGCGCCAGACTTAGTCCAATAAAGGCCTAAAGTATCTAAACCAAGATTGAAGAGCCAGATCTAGTCCATTGGATCAGTACCCAGCTTTAATTGAATCTTCTATTCAGCAAAGTGTTTTGGAAAAGCTTAGAAATCACCTTTTCGAATGAGAGTTTGGAAATAGAATTGCCACACTATGCATGTAGTGAAATATTACATAAAATACAATTACTGACCAGCAACAAAATCTCCAAATCCTATGGTGGTGATAGTGATGAATGAGAAATAGAGGCCTTCAATGTAATCCCATCCTTCAGTCACCATAAAGACAAAGGGAGGAATAACCAGATGGACCAAGACACCCCAAACAATGAATATAGCTGTGCATGTAATTTGTGCTTTCCTCTGTAAAGAAATAAGAAAAAAAGTCAGGGAAAGATCTCCAAATTTTCTTTTCCCATCCATGGCACCAAGCATCATCTGACAGTATCAGATATTTCAGAGTTTTATGCTAACAGTTTATCACCCATAACTAAAAGTCATTGACTGAAGTAAACACACAACTACTTTTTTTTCCTTTATGCAGAACTCGCTATTCTTACAACTACTTGCTCAAATAAGTTTATTTCCTCATAGTTTTCTTTCACACTCTTGAAAAGTTTAAGGAGTTCCTGATATTTTATAAATAGGCATGGGATACAGACATAGCGCTCTAGTCTAAAAAGCAGTTAGTACTTCTGATTTTCCTTTTATTTATTTGAGTATAGAGGATCAGAAGTGTTTAAGACACTTCTCTCCTATTTATGCCTCCTATCCCTTGCCACTCATGTAACCTCTGCACAAAGCTGCACACCACATGCATTTCACCATTGTTTTCTGTACTTCTTCTCAGGTGCTGAACCAAAGAATTTCTTGCTCTGTTTCTGAAACCAGAACCTAAACCAGTCCCACTGTCCTCAGGCACTATGGCCCTACATTGCCTCCCATCTCTGTGCAGAGTTAGAGCTGAGACAGAACTCACTCGGGGCGG